CTTTATACATATATACACATAAAAATGTATATACATATATCTATGTTTATATATAYACTTACATAAATCGAYAGACTAGAAGCTATCTGTAACTCCATTATAAACATCTGAGATTAAGTTTATTAAGAGCTGATAAAAATTATGCAAAAATGAAAAGTCTAAGAAAATACTCCAAAAAGTCAATTTAAACTGAAAACATTAACCGTAGCACTACAGAATTTCTAAATTTGTCAGTACTACCACACACTCTTCCCCCAACACTTCACAAGATTGGATGAAAAAAATGAACTGAAAACAGATAGTTCCATATCTTACTGGCTTGAGTTAAATTGCCAAGTTTTGCATTCTGTTTCACATGCTGGGACAGTAACTTATTTTCACAAGTAATAATTAAAAGATAAGTAAATGAAACACAAGAGCCATGCAAAGCACATWACTTTATAATGCGTTTGGAACAAAGATTGCATTTAGCTAGAGGATGACTGTAGTTCTGTAGTAAGGAATTAACAGATTTTACTCAGTTCACAGTGTTAAAGTGGTCATTTGCCTTTCATTTTCCTYAGCATTCAAACCTGACCCTATATGAGATGACATACAATTTGAGACCTAATATGCATTTTAGCATAGAACAAATAAAATGGAAAGCAACAGATGGTTCAATTGCTGTATAGATATGTTTACTTACCTCAGGTTTTTCTCTTAGACCCTAGTTGTGTTGTACTCAGATTCATGTTTGCTTAGAGACCCAATGAGGCAGAACCTGGAATGTTATGGCTATTTCATTCAAAATAATAGTGTTTGCATAGAAAAAAATAAATATATGCATATAGATACTCAATAAACAGTACATTTTGATAATCTGATTGATATTCATGAAGTAACTTACACAGACATGCAGTTGGATTAAAATAACCAAATAAATATTTTTTTTCAAGAGAAAGAAATGCCTTAATGTACAAAGATATTATGGAGGGCATGTAAAGTCACAAGAAATGGATAAGTAATGCATGCAAGAGAAAACACAAATTATTAAAAAAGGGTTGTGTGTTCTTTTTCAAATAAATTGTTCATGAATGCTTCTGTTTTGCTTTTTCTTTTACTTGTAAACTTTTAATCATTCAAAATAACAGTCATTCAAAGTGCAATATACAGAAGAAATAGCTCTTTTATTAAAATATTTTGCTTGACTTGTTTTTTTAATTGATTAGAAAGTTTCCCTTTAACTTCATTCCTATATGTAAATATATGAATTCACTATGTCTCATGTTCTAATCAGTCTGTGTATGTTAATATGACAAACCAAAATTCTGTGATCAATAATGGAACAGATACAGTAAAGTTTTGGAAATATTGTCATTCATTGCATAAAAAGTAATGTTCCRTAAGAAAAGGGGTTTCCTTTCCCCAGGACTGTGTTCCACATTCTTGTGTAATGCCTCAAAATGGATATATGTTTCCTTTATTTATTGATGTATTTATTTAGAGATGGTTAGTGGATGATATTCAAGGCCACCACAGTGACAAGGAAACCACATGTATGTGGCTGTYATAAAAACTAAATTTGCACAATCTTTGGTTTTAAAAAATGTACTTGTTCTCTGTTGACCTCTGTATGTATGCATGTGGGCATATGTAAAATAGTAAAAAGAAAAAGAACGAAAGAAGTAGAAAGGTAAAACGGAGATACAGGAACCTTCAGGAAAGAGGAGCAGAAATGTGAAATAGAGACAAAAAGAGAGATAATATAATGGCATGAGCTATCAGGAAACAGAAATTTAAACAATAAATAAAGAAGAAAGAAAATATGTCTTTCCTAAACAAAGCGTGAATATGTTTGAGTAATCAAGTCCTTAYACAATAGTCTTCATCAAAAATTTATTGATACTGACCGCTGAACAGCTTTATCATGTCTGGACAGCCTGTGACTTGTGGTTGGCACCTCTTCGATTTCGTCTATCTCGCACGCATCTGCAGCATCTTGTGAGTAGCTATGCTTCATGACAAGGATATTTCTCCTGTTCATGGGCTGAACAAGTGGTTTTACAGGCTGGGGTTGTATTTCTGTCAAGACAGAAGCATCTCTTGTGCTGAGGTTACTACGGCTGCCCTTAATACTAGACACTTGTGATCCACAGTGATGGTCATGAATGCATTTTGAAGAGGATCTCCGCAGTTTATGATAATTTTCAAAGTCATCTGCAACGTCAGCAAGGTCAGCTGTAGTCCCTGTCCCTCTAAGGGTGCATAACTCATAATGAGGAGGCTCAAATACCTCCTGGAACACTGTTTGATCAAAGTCTGTTTTCCTTTGGACAAATTTTTTACGAGGCTGCTTGATCTGTACTATAATAGAGATAACAATGAGGATGATCACAATGCAAGAAGTCACCCCAATTATAGTCCCACTGGTATTGGTAAGTTGGTCCAATAGGTTTGCTTTTCTTTTTTCTGTGTGACAGGGAATAAAAAAAACAAAAACAAAAAACAAACAATAAAGCACAGAATTAATTGCAGTTCAAGAATAAGAACAGSTATGATGGGTTCAAAGATTACTGCAAGGCTGAGCCTAGTCTATGTCTGAGTTCACTTAATCAATCTCACCAACAAAAAAGAAAAGAGGAAGAAATCAGGCATTTGTGAAAGCCAAATAAACAACACACAACTCCTTTGTGTGCCTATCTACTTGGAAACTTATTTATTCAATATTGCAAGCTTAATTAAATGAAAGAGTTAATTTTTTTTTTTATAAAAAGCAACCACCATAACAARCAGATGGCTGCAGTGTCACCTCTGAACTCCATTTGCCTGCTAAAGCCCCCAAGACTGTTACAGATGTTCTTGTCATTATTTTCTCTCTCTTCCAGTAAAGATATGTAACTGGGACATTAGGTCCAATGAAAAAGCATGATTTTACTGTATTTAAAAATAAATTCTTCTTTGCATTGTGAAGTCCTAATAAKTATGAGCTGAGTGGGAATTTTGACAGTATTCAATAAAAAAGCTAATTCAAAAGAAAATAGAAAAGTTGTTTGAATTTAGATTTCAGAAAGGAAAAAAAAAAACAAAAAACAAATTGGTGCAAGTTGCTTCTTTTTTATAAACAGTAATAAAAATCCAAAAGCTCATCGGACCTACTACCCTTTACTCAGAAGCCTTTAAGAAGTTTGTCAGGAAATCCTGTATTGTGGATGAAGCAGAAATATACAGTAAAATAATGAAATAAAACCAGTAGTTTTCCCCTACTGTTGTGTAACTTTCTCTGTGGTTTGCTTTCAAAGGGCTTCAGGCACATGAGATGGTGCCTGAGCCTTGTAGAAATTCAAGTTGAAAGCATTTGCATCAGTCTCTCTCYGGCATAGCAAGACAATTGTGGTTAAGTTTCAACAACCAGTTTAGTGTAATTTTTCCTGGCAACCTAAAACATGTAAAAGGACTTAACAAAAAGCCTTTGAAATGAAAGTTATTKGCATCAAAACAGTAACATCCGTCTCTTCATAATCTCCTAGATACCAAAGCTTAACTTTTCTGTGCTTGTAGATTCACTCAGTGTTTTTCTAAGTGACTGACACAGACTTTGAAGAAAAGGCAGTTAGAATAAGCAACACTGCAGTAAATAATGTTTTTGCTGGAATCAGCAAACCTCCTTTTTGTAGTCAGAAAAACAAGAGAGGAGAAATGCACAAGACGTGATAAAAGATACTTGGCGAAGGAAAGATGAAAATCGTTCTAGAAATTAGAGTGGTGAAGCTTTTCTGTTTTCCTCTATTGTGAAAAACCAGAGAATGAATAATCATTTCCCAATTKCATGTTTAGTTTCTTTGAAGAGTATTATGCTATGACACAGTTTAGCTGTATTCTTTTGAAGTATATGTTTTCATTTGTGTTTYGCCCTATTGCACTGCTTGTCAGGATTTTACAGGCTTCAGTAGACTTATGGGCTSACTGCTAATCCACCTCATTCTGAATTTTGTCTTGATTGGTTCCTAAATTTGGCATATCCCATGTTTCCAGGAACAAATCCGCAGCAGGGGGTGACAGGGGGATACAAGACAGAAGCAAACTGTCTCCCTAGCCAGCAATGTAAGTTAGTTGAGCTCTTTTCCCTGAAGAAAACACAGATGCTGTTTTGAGGTTGGTTTGGTTTTTTTTTGGTTTTTTTTCACAACAACATATTTAGAAACTATTGTCAGAACATGGGTTGGAACATCCCACCCTGCCTATGAAATAAAAATTACATCTCATTTCCTGCGCTTGATCCTTGCACTTCAATTTCTCTTATTAYAGGTAGATTTGGTTGCTTTCTTACAGTGTTAATTCCACTTCACCTTCCTTTATGAGACCWCCTGGGCTACTATGGGCATAGCATGCAGCTAAAAGACACCTGCTACTCATATATTACTCCACTACAAAGGTAACTATGGCAAAGGAACCAAAATATTACTTTTAATTATGCTTTAGGCTGTATTGAAAACAGAAGAAGTGATCAGAAAGCCYCCCAGAAGTGCATAACCAGCCAGCAGGACATAACCAATGCAACACCAGGCAAAAACAAATGAAAATGCTGAAAGTAAAATCCACTGGCATTTTTTACCTTCCATCATTTTCTCTATTGCTTGATGTACACTCTCCCTGAATTACTCTTCCTGAGCTTTCACCCATCTGGCACATAATTAGCGAGAAACTGAAGGTCATATGCTGTATCTCATGCAGTGTAAATTACTATTTTTCCAATTCTACACCTTACCTTTGCAGTGGTTTTCATCCCAGGGATACACACAATTCTGGAGCCCATTGCAGACCAGTGTATTATTTATACACATATTACTGTGGCAAAAGAATGTGTTGGCTTCACAAGGGGCTAAAAAATGAGAGAAAAAGTTGATATTAATTAGCAAGTGATTCAGCTCTCCTCAATAAACACATCTAGGAGTGACTATGTATTCTGTAACAGGAAAAAGCTATACATGTTCCTTGAACATATTAAATAGTTGATGTGCAGCATGAAGGGCACTCAAGTCACAGACTGTTTATTAGTCTGTGGCAATAGATTTTCAGGTTTTTTTTTGAGGACTGAAGTCTCCCTTAGCATGACTCTCATGCATGCAGTGGGTTGGCTCCCCAACACTGGTAGGGAGTCATGGATGTGTTATCAAAGTTTTAGCCACAGATCAAAAACATTTTACCTTAAGGGCACTACAAAAAGAGTTAACTCTGTCTTGTCAGATCCAATATATGGTAAATGTTTTTTAAAATTTGTTGCTGAAATACCAATTTTATAAGAAAACTTGCTTGATGCAAAGATGATACATACTTTAGGGCCCATATCAATGTTGTCTGAACATTTATACACAGAGAAAGTAGAATTATTTTAAAAACCTTTTAGTCATAAGAAAGGYTACAGTTAAGAAGCACCCCTTTGGTCACAAGTATGAAGATAAAAAAAGCACAATAGTCTTCTGTGTCCCTGGAGCTTATGGTCTAGAAGAATCATGGGGAAAAGCTTCAGGAAAATGACTTTATGATAGCCATGTATTATTACTGTGAAGAGACTGCYTGAAAGCCTCCAGGAGGAATTGTACATGCTGCTAAACTGTGGTGTTTGTGGAAGTGTTCGAGATCATTAGGTGTTGGGGTTGTGAAGCTACTACTCCAAAAATGTGTAACAGTAAAGACAAATGACTCCTCTTTTTCAAACCAGAAAACCTTCCATAATTTAGAAGAGCTATAAACTTTGTCAGTGTTAAATCAGAAAAAAAAAGGCACTCTCTGTGTTTTTTTTTTAAGTTCAAGAAACCCAAAAGCATTCTAAYTATTTTTAGGGGAGAGTTAAAAAATAAACTAAGACCCTTAACTAAACAGAAAGCAGTTATGATGCTGATATTACCGATACTTTGAGTTTGACACTTCATGGAATCTGTTCYCTGCAATTTTAAAAGCAGTTCCTATGACAACATAAATGCATAGCAGAGAGAACAGCTTAGTGGTTTACAGACTAATGGCAAGACAAAGGATTTAAATCATAGAACTTAATGACTCAATATATCATGTCAAGAAATCCACTTTTCAATAAGYGTTTGAGTTCAGATATCCATGACTGGCTTATTTGGAGCAGTTGTGGTGTGTTAAGCAAATAGTAAATGCCATCAAAATCAAAGTACACACCCCCAAATATGCAACCACTGACTCAGATATAACATTTTACATATACTGTATCTGTCAGCCAAGGCAGAAGACATCAACCAGCCTGTCCACTGACCAATTGTTGTGTTTAAATCTGGTATACCATCTCCTGAGGTGCAGTGACCCTGGCCATGCTTTAAGTTTGTTGCAGGAAGGATTCCACCTTATGCTGGACAAATCAGAGCAGCACAAGTGCACATTAGAAAGGGAGGATGCTTAGGGACAGTCCTTATCAATCTGTTGCTGTCATTTGGGGACAGGGAAGGCTGAGCCTGGAGGATACTGCACCACATCATGATGTGACACATATGTAGGTAACACATCAGAGGCGTAATCATCCTTTCACACTCTAGCTGCAATTCCTGTTTCCAGGCAAGGTGAGGATCTCTTGGGATGTTTCCCACATGCAGACACAGTCTCACTGCCTACTCTAACCAAAAAAAAAGTGAGAAACCTAAGGAGATCTGAAGAGCCACCAATTCAAAATACAAAGTGTACAAAAAAAAATACCCAAATGTCAAATGAAAAAAACATGCAAGGAGAGACGTGGCAACAAAGGGGAAATATTAAAGGCAAAAATAAATAAACAAGAAATTGCAAGATTAGGATAGTTTGTACTAATAAAGCCACAAAAAAAAAAAAAAAAAAAAAAAAAAAAAAAAAAAATAAAAAAAAAAAAAAAAAAAAAAAAAAAAAAAAAAAAACCAAAAACAAACAAAAAAAAAAAACCAAAATAAAACACCAAAACATCAAAAAACATCCAGAGTGTCATGAAGGATCTTAGAAGTGAAGTGGGAAGGACAGAGTGCTGTCTTAATTCAGAAGTATAGTGGTGGTAAGTAGGAAAGGAGAGGAAAGGAGTAGAAAAGGAKAACTAAAGGAGTATAGCAAGGAAGTTAAAGGAAGAGGAAAAAAGAGAGAGCTCTACAGAAAAACAATGTCAATTGGTTATTTCATTCTGCACTGAAAGAAATGAGATTTTTATCAATTGAAAAATATTAGGAAATGTTTCATAGATAAGGGAAAAATCAAGAGCCATTAAAAAGACCCTTTTTTCAGATTTAAGAAGAAGGAATAATTATGCAAAAAGGTGACAGGGACATCTGGAAATGAAAGGCAAGAGAAAGGAAGAAAAAAGAATGAGAATTAAGATTTTCTTAAATTGTGCTATTGAAYGGTGGAGGGAAAAAAATGGTATGTGAATAAATGTCAAAACAAGATGAATRGTGATGAAAAGTAATTTCAGAGCCAGTACAGCAAACTTAGCATGAGAAAAACCCAAAAGTAAGACTCAGAAAACCAATGACAAACAGCCCCCTCTTGCTCATGTTTACAAAATTAAAATAACCGAGCCCTCTCTGTGGTCCCATGAACCTGGAATGATTAAGATGGACAAGAAGTAWATATATTTCCCCCACTCTAACCGAAGTATTTTGTTGGAATGAATGAAAGCATCAGGGGAAGCTGAAAACTTGCCAGTCCTGTTGTACATTGAAGGGATTCGGGTTTTTTTGTGCTGAAAAAAGGCACAGTGAAGGGATCTTGCAATGCTGTCTCAAGAGCATTCAAATAATAACAGAAAGACAAATGTTATTTATGTGGTAGTAAACCTGATTCTTTCATAGCAAGATGGATCTGGTCTTGATACATTCCTACAGCTGTTACAGAACCCAGGATGGCAGGAAAATCAAGCAGTTTGTGACAGCAAGGTTGTGGATGTTTTCACAAAAAGAAAATGCTGCTGTAATTAACTTCACCTAGAGAAAGCAGAGCAGATATCTCACACACCAGACACTGTACTCTATCACTCCATGGTCTTCTCCATCACTATATAAATCCTCTTTCTATCAGAGAGAGACAGGAATGCAGAGAGCTCACCTAGGGGGAACCCAGTGAGGTTTTGGTCATGATTATTGCAAAGCCTAGTGGAAAGCTACCAGTACTGTACTTTATGTCTGGGCTACTTGATCAGGAACAAGAAGTCAATGAAATCTTCTTCAGACAGCTGGAAGCAGCCTCACAAACACAGRGTCTTGTCCTTATGGAGATTTTAACCACCTGTTATCTGTGGAGAGCAACACAGCAGGTCACAAGTAATCTGGGAAGTTTCCAGAGTRCATTGGTAACTTCCAGACACAGATAATCAAGGAGCTGATGAGGATAGCTCTGCTGTGCCTCATACTTTTACAAAAAAGAATCAGTTGGGAATATGAATGYCAGGAATATCCCTGACTGCAGTCAGCATGAGATGGTGGAGTTCAGGATGCTGCAAAGAAGGAATAAACCAAAAAGCACAGTCATAATTCTTGGCCTCAGAAAAGCAAAATTTCACTGTTGAGGGGTCTGGGTGGATAAATGCCATGGAGGTGGTCCTGGAAAGATGMAGGTTCAAGGAAGGTTGGTTGATTCTGTAAAATCACCTCCTCCAAGATCAGCAGCTGTCTATCTGCACAGGCTGAAAAGCCAGGGATGGTAACAGTTATTCTGCATGGATGGACAATGAGCTCCTGATTAAACTCAAACATAGAAATGATACAAGAAGTGGCAGTAGGGCAGCATGATCCCAGCAAAAATATGAACTTCTCTGAGTGGAAGAGGACCAGGTTGTGGAATATTTAATCCACTGGGCAGACATGAATCCATGGGTCCTGTTGTGRTGCCTTTAGTTGGTGGCTCATATCATTGTGAAGCCACTCTTGATTTCCTCTGAAAAGTCTTGCTAATGGAGGCCTCAGTGGGCTGAGCAAACAGGAACTTCAAGCAGATCAACAAAAATAAATGCAAAGTCCTGTGCCTTGGGAAGAATAACTTCATGCACCATGCACCAGTAGATGATGGGGACTGACTGACTAGAAAGCAGCTTTGCAGAAAGGGTTCTGGTATGTAACGAGGTCACCTTGAAAATCACYTTGAGTCAGCAACGTGCCCTTGTGACAAAGAAGGCCACCACTATCCTGGGTTGCCTTAAAAACAACAGAATTGTYAGCAGGCTGAGAGATGTGATCCTTCCCTTCTATTCAGCATGGTGAAACCACATCAGCAGYGTTGTGTYCTGTTTTGGGCTSCTCAGCACAGGAGAAACACAGATGTACAGCAGCGAGGCCAGCAAGGGGCCATGGAGGATTGARACATCAGAGGTGTGAGGACAGGCTGAGAAAGATGGGAACCCTTCATCCTGGAGCAGAGAAGGCTGGAGCAGGCTCTTGTCCATGCATCCCATTCCCAGGGAGTAAAGAAGAGGGAGTAAAGAAAACAAAACAGAGCCAGGCTCTTCTCAGAAATGCCCAGTGACAAKACAGGAAGCAACAAGCACTAAAGGAAATACAGGAAATTCCCTCTAAATGCAAGAAATAACTTTGAGGAGGGTCAAACACTGCACAAGAGCTGGTTTACCAAGAGATGTTGTGGCATCTCCATCGCTGAAGATGTTCAAAACCCAACAGGACACAGCCCTGAGCCAGCTGCTGTAGCTGACCCTGCTTAGGGCAAAAGGATTGGACTAGACCATGTCCTGAAGTCCTTTCCATCCCTTCTGTGACTCTCTGAAAAAACCCCAACTTCATAATTAGATCAAAAGTGACAGCTGGGAGCACACAATTATGTTATTTCTCCTGTGTCCCAAAGCTGCCTTCAGTCAAGTTCTACAAAGGTACTGGCCTAGAAATGAGTGAGATAGCA